GGTAGAAACATGCATCTGACAAACGCTGCATACCAAAGTCCGTTGTGGAGACACTATTTCCCGTACAGAGGCCGTCAGTGTCCACTATGGATGGTGATCCGTTGAGTGTTGTTGACCCTGTAACGGAAGAAGAAATAACACTCGCAACAGGTAAAGTGGAAGTAAAGAAAGCTCCTGACCCCGATGGTGTGCCCAACATAGCTCTAAAGCTTGCAGTCCACCAGTGCGCTTCCTCATTCCTACAAGTTTTTAATGGATGTTTAACGAATGGAACTTTCCCTCAAATCTGGAAGAGGCAAAAGCTTGTTTTAATACCTAAGCCGGGTAAACCTCTGGATGATCCCTCAAGTTTTCGGCCTATTTGTCTGCTGGACACAGCAGGTAAAATCTGGGAGCATATAATTGCCAAGCATCTCGACAGGGAAGTCCAAGAGAAAGGGGGAATATCGGCAAACCAATTCGGGTTTAGAAAAGGGAAATCCACTGTGAATGCGGTAGAAGAAGTCATTAAGTTAGCACGGGATGCAACGAGCGGTACACGGTGGCTGGGAGGAGCAAAATAGTACTGCGTGATTGTTACCTTAGACGTAAAGAACGCATTCAACCAACTGGGCTAAAATACTAGATAGACTGGAGAGTATTGGAATTCCTTATTATCTTCGAAGACTAATACGAAGTTATTTCCACTCGCGAGTGCTGTGGTACGAAACGGAGGAGGGCTTGCAGCGGGCTGAGATAACAGGTGGCGTTCCACAAGGATCCGTACTAGGCCCTTTACTATGGAACATTATGTATGATGGAGTTTTTCGTACCGAATTGCCCGAAGGATCATCCATAGTAGGTTTTGCAGACGACATTGCGGTAGTAGTATCTGCGAAACTTCTTGATGTCATATGCGAAAAGGTAGCATCATCAGTCGGCGTGATTAAAAGTTGGTTAAATAGCTTCGGCCTGAAGCTAGCCGAGCAAAAAACAGAAGCAATACTTATCTCGAGTCGTAAGAAACTAGAGGAGGTAGCGCTAAAAATTGGCGACCACACCATCAAAACGAAACCCACAATTAAATACATGGGAGTGGTGCTAGACAAGCGTCTTACTTTCAGCGCCCACTTGAGCTATGTGAGAGAGAAAGCAGCTTCAACGATCACGGGACTATCTCGAATAATGCTTAATACGCGAGGACCGAAACAGCGCAGACGTTTACTCTTAGCGAGCGTGGTTAAAAGCCGAATACTGTATGCGGCCCCAATTTGGTCAAACGCGGCAGAGTGTCCAGCATACTTCCGCGGAGTCAACTCAACATACCTTTTATGTGCGCTCCGAGTCTGCAGCGCCTTCAGAACAGTGTCGGACGAAGCAGCTTTCGTAATCGCCAGTATGATACCCGTAGATATACTGGCGAGTGAATCGACGGTCCTTGCGTCCACGCCGCGTACTCTAACTCAATTAGACCGACGTCAAGCCCGGGAAAGCAGCATTAGGGAGTGGCAAAACAAGTGGAATAATACGACTAAAGGTCGTTGGACCTATCGCTGCATACCAAATCTGGTATTCTGGCTTGATAGAACACATGGCGAGGTAGATTTTTATCTTAGTCAGTTCTTAAGTGGTCATGGCTGTTTTAAGGCATACCTATTTAAATTCAAACATGAGCGCGACCCGTACTGCGACTTCTGTCGAAATGGCGAGGGAGAAGATGTGCACCACGTATTCTTTCGATTCCATCAGCAGCATACATTTAGGTATGTTTAAATCAGAAATTTTTGTTTTTTTAGTTGACCATTGACCTCGGAATTCACGATAGGGAATTTGTTTTTGACGAATCGAAACAGTTTGTCTCTTTTCAGCAATACTTGGAGTTTAAAATACTATTTCATTTAGGTATCTATTAATTTTCGATCGGTAGATATTTGCTTTTATATATACGTTTTTTTTTAGTTTCAAGGTCGAGAAACTGTTTTTGAAGAATGTGAATAATTTCCCCGTATTCACCAGTATTTGGGCTTTATAATGCCGTTTAGTTTGTGTCTCTATCTCGTTTGGATCGGGAGATATTTGATTTTGTCCATTTTTTCCCAAAACAGAAAACAGTGCGGCCCTGCCTATGGTATTCGACGCCCTGAATACGAATCCGAGGTCTGTTTGTCTCCATCACGTCAGGTTCGAGGTCATTTGAAGGTCAAGTAGGGAAAAATTCGTTGAAAAATCTGAAAACTCAATACAATTCTTCAGAATTGATCTTGAGATGACCTTGGCACAACCTCTAGATAACATTGAAGAACCAAGCCACCCCCATATTCGGATTTAGCGACAACAAAAACCTATGTACATACATATATGAATTTTTATTTTTATTGAATGCATTTTTTCACACCTCGGGTTCGCATTCAGCGCGTCGAATACCACAGGGATGTAGGGGTTTGGTTCAATATACAGAAACTTTTTTTTTTTTTATAAGCCTATGTTATTTATGAAAATATAGTTCATTCTATAATGTAATCCATATATATAAAAGCTTCATACTTTATATAAAGTTCATAAAAATTAAAAAAAAATTATCAAAATGTTTATTCACAATTTCTATAAAATTTTTGAGTATGCAGTTTTGTAGCCCGTTCAATTCTGGTAAAATAATGTGGAAGTTTCAAGTCGCTAAATATTACCGGTGATTTTTTTTGTGGAGGGTGTTGCGCGTTTTCTTCCATATAAAAAATAGATTTTGATTATGCGTTGTATAGAAGAAAAGAAAAAAGCAGAAAAAGCCGACACCTTTGCTTGCCACTTAAAAAAAGTATTCGTCCCACCCAATACAACAGAAACCGTTACAACTACATTGAGTTACCCATATCAAATGGATCCACCCATTGAAAAGTTCTCTAAATCAGAAATAAAAACAGCCATTGAAAAGCTAAAACCCAAAAAAGGCACCTGGCTACGACTTAATAACTGGCCAGTTATTAAAACACCTTTGCTTGCCACTTAAAAAAAGTATTCGTCCCACCCAATACAACAGAAACCGTTACAACTACATTGAGTTACCCATATCAAATGGATCCACCCATTGAAAAGTTCTCTAAATCAGAAATAAAAACAGCCATTGAAAAGCTAAAACCCAAAAAAGGCACCTGGCTACGACTTAATAACTGGCCAGTTATTAAAAAAATTATCCCCGGCAGGCATAAATTTTCTGACAAACTTGTTCAACGCGGTTCTGTACATCGCTTTTATTCCTCCTCAATGAGAAGTCTCACAAGTTAAAATAATTTTAAAACGGGGAAAAAATGCTGAAGAGCTTTTTCTGGAAGAGCTTTTTCTTAAAAGATTGCTTCCACTTATCGGGAAGAAGAAACTTATTCCGAACCACCAATTTGGGCTTACAGCACAATCGAACAAGTTCATAGGCTTGTCGATAAAATCCAGTCAGCATTTGACAAAAAGAAATACTACACTGCTGCTTTCCTCGACATATCACAAGCCTTTGATCTCGTTCGGCACGATGAGCTACTTTACAAAATCAAAACTACCCTCCCTACCAACTACTATATTTTCATTCAGTCCTATCTGAAAGAGCGCTACTTCTTCGTCAATCAAGGCGTAGAGCTGTCTGAACTACATGAAAGATTAGCTAGGGTGCCACAAGGCAGCGTAATGGGCCCAATTTTATATCTCCTCTACTCGTACAATTTGGCTATTGCTGAGGGCGTCACCATTGGCACTTTTGCTGATGACACTACTATTTTAGCGGAAGACATTTCCCCTAATACGGCTTCAATAAAACTTTAAAATGCTCTTAATACAATCGATGATTGGCTCAAAAAATGGCGGTTAAGATATAATAGCACTAAATCTGTCCAAGTAACGTTCACACTCAACAGAGGTACCTGCCCACCAGTCCAACTGAACGATGTTAACATACCACAAAGCAATGAAACTAAATACCATGGAATCAGGGATGTTGCGAATATTCGCATTCGCATTCGCTATGCGAATGATTCGCATCATTTTACACATTCGACAATCGCGTTCGCATCAAATGATACGAATGTTTTGCGAATGCGAATGTGTACATGGGCAGAGATTCCACTCTAATATTGTTGAAATGGCTCTAAGTCTGTCTAACCAGGGTGCGGACAATAGCCGGCTTTTAGCTTCAGGCGCTAAACGGTTAAGTAGTATATCAAGCAGCATTCAACAAGTACTGCTAAAAGTCTTATAAGCAACCTAGAAATGATTTTAGATTCCTCAAGCGAAAGCAAAGGCTCGGATGTAGAATCTGGAGACAAATTTGAAAGTTGGAGAAAAAATTTGAAAGTAAAGCTCGATTGAAGAAGGCCTATCATAAAGAAAAACGAGCTCATCTCGGTGAAAATCTTCTCGATTGATGGAAAACTAAACTAAAGTACAACCAATTGACAGATCTGGCCGCAAATATTTGAGCGCTCCAACCGCCAGCATTCCAAGCGCAGGGCTACCAACTTGGCTCAAGCCGTGCCATTTTCGGCCCTATTTTACTTCCAATGGCACTCAATATTTCAATTCGGCACAAAGTGCCAAAATGGCACTTTTGTAAAAAATAACATTTCAATACATTTTTGTGAAATCCTTTGCGTGTAGGTACTTCTCATTTCAAATTTATAAAGGCTATTCAACTGGTTTATATTATTTTGAAAATAAGGTTCTTATTTTATTGCTAAATGGGAATGATTAAAAATAATGACACCTTTTTTGGCACTTTTATTTTTCTATTTGACACATTTTGGCACTTTTTCATCCTCAATATGGCACCTTATAGCTAAGGATAGCTGGCAGCCACCTCACGAGGAAAAGGCAACAAAATTACTTTTTTTAAATATGATATGCTCTTTTGAACTTTGACTACTAGATTAAAACACTGTATAGGTTAAGCACTCGTTCAATGTTCTAATAATTAAAAAAAATTTATGTATTAAAAACGATGACTTAAGTTGATTATAGCTTTTTTAATGTTATTCCTAAAGGTGTTCTTACACGATATGTATTTGCATGTGTACATGTCACTTTTTCAAGTCATATGTAATTGTATATGGGTGTCAAATTCATTATATTTGGTTAGCGTTTACACGATATGTATTTGAATATGTACTTTTATTTGACATGGCAGCTGATTTAGTGTCAACAAAAATTACTTACAGTTTGAGAAAAATAATTAAATGGAAATTTCCGATGGACGCAAAAGATAAAAAAATTGTTTTGTTCGCTATTGTAATGTCTGTTGCTTCAATGCGAAAGAAAAGGAGTAAAGTTAAAAGATCGCGGCGGCAAAGAGCTCTATGGAGTGAAAAGTGGTTACTGCGAAGAGATTCCGGCCGAGGATTGGCTTCAATGGCTATGACGGAGCTGTTCGTGGAAAAACCAAAAGCTTTCAAGAACTTTGCCAGGATGTCAACAAATACGTTCTCTGAACTACTAGAGAAACTTACTCCATTTATTGCAAAGCAAGACACACCGATGCGTCAAGCAATCTCTCCCAGCACGAGGTCACTATATTTCATATATGTATTTTAGAGCATTATATGTATGTATGTACCAGCTTATACTCGTGGGTTTGATTAATTTTAGTTTTATAATTTTAATTTTATATACGTATATATGTACATACATACATGTTATAAATCAATTTTCCTTTAGGTTGCTTATAACACTTCGGTTTTTAGCCACCGGGGAAAGATTTAGTCAATTATCTTTCGGCTTCCGAACATCAGATTCAGCAATTTCACAAATTGTATCAGAAACTTTTAAAGCTATTTACTTAGTTTTGAGAGACGATTTTTTAAAGGTATAAACCTTGACAAATATGAGACATTTTACTAATTGCTTAAACTATTTTTTGTTATAGATGCCCCAAAATAGCAATGAATGGCGCATTGTGGCGGATGAATTTGAAAGGAAATGGAATTTCCCCCATTGCTTGGGAGCTATAGGTTTGAAGTGCCTAAACTGATTCTAAGTTCATACATACATATTTTTATTTTTTCTTATCGCAGACGGCAAACATATAGCGATTCATTACAAAAAAGAGTACGGGTCTTATTTTTTCAACTATAAAGGATTTCATAGCGTTATTTTGCTAGCCATAGTCGACGCAAATTATAAATTTTTATATGTAAATGTTGGAACGAATGGAAGAGCCAATGATGCCGCGGCCTTCAATGAGTCATCTTTTCTTGAGGGACTAAAAAAGAATGCATTTAACATTCCACCGGATTCAAAACTACCGGGCACTAATGAAACGGTTCCATTTGTATTTGTGGCAGACGACGCTTTCAAGTTGACTTCTCGCATATTAAAGCCACATGGCCAACGTTCAAGCGATTACCACAAAATTTTTAACTACCGCTTAAGTAGAGCCAGACGAGTAGTTGAGAATGCGTTTGGAATATTGGCAAATAGATTCCAAATATTTCAAAGAAATATTGATTTACCACTAGACAAAATTGAGAACCTAACACTAGCTGCATGCGCGCTGCACAATTTCATTACAACACGAGATGGTTTCGAAAGCATTCACCTAGATTTGGAGGATACAAATACAATAAATTTAATCGAAGGATCTTGGAGAAACGAAGTAGCTTTAACTAGTTTACAAAGATCACTTGCGAATCATTCAGCAGTTGAGGGAAGAACAGTCCGTGAAATATACACCAAATATTTTAATACAACTGGTTCCGTTCCATGGCAACTTAGTGCAATAAAAAAATTTAATTTTTAAACTTATGCTGGTTTTATAAATGCACTGCGTAGCAAAACTGTTTTTTTTAAATATCTACGAAGTTTTTCAAGCTAAATTTATTTTTTGGTTTTTTTATATAACAATATTTTTCATGCCTGAACCAAACCCATATAAATCAAAGTTTAAATTTTTATATAGACTTAAAAAAAATATAAAATAATGTTCTTTAAAATTTCGAACTTTTTAATAAGAATCTGTATAAAGTTTGAAATTTTGATTAATAGGTAGTTAGTTCAGCCATGAACAATATTATTATACAATAATAACAAAAAAATTCAGCTTGAAAAACATTGTACACCAATGGCCAGCATAATAGAAACCCCTTATTTTGACCAGTTTTGGCTATATTTCTTTTGTTTATTTAATATTTATCATTTTTTATAAAAGCACAGCTCAATATCTAGCAGAAACCGTAAAAATTCATATTTCAAAAAATTATATAAATTCTGTAAAGTTGCATTTAAATTCTCAACTATTTAATTTTTTAGATTTGGTGTGCAGTTTTATAGTCCATTCAATTTTAGTGTAACAAAGTGTAAGTTTTAGGTTGCTAAGAAATCGCGTTAATTTTCTCCCATACAAAGTATGTTCGACAATTTTGTTTTTGTATGGAAAAATGCGAAACACTTTCAACCAAAAAAATTATCAAAAATCAACGCGATTCATTAGCAACTCAAAACTTACACTTTGTTGCACTAAAATTGAATAAGCTATAAAACTGCGTATTAAATAAGAATCTAAAAAATTAAAAAGTTTAGAGTTTAAATGCAACTTTGCAGAATTTTTATAATTTTTTGAAATTTGAATTTATATGGTTTTTATTAGATATTGAGATGCGCTTTTATAAAAAATAATAAATATTAAATAAACAAAAGAAGTAACCAAAACTGGTCGAAGTATGGCCTTTCTCCAGTTTTGACCGCCAGTGTATATTTTATGTATTTATGAATTAAAAAAGATCGTATCTTCAATAAAACATATTGAATATATTTGTACTTCAGTTCATTTGTCTACATATTTAGTTAAAAAAGAAAACAATGTTTTAGGCAGCCCTTCAGTCAAAAAAAGATTAATACCTCAAAAATTCCCAAAAGAAGCAAGGTCGGCATTCATGTTTCTAGAATACATTTTGGATATACCATTACAGTTTTCAAATCGGTTCTGGATTGCGAATTTTACAAAATCCGCAAGCAAGAACGAGTTTGAAAAAAACGTGGGTACATTCAAAATCATCGGTATAAATATAACCGAAATATCTGAATTCGTTGTTGCCGATTTGGCTGTTGGTTAAGTATAAAAAAAAAACCATAAATTTCATAAAGCTTAGTAATTTTTGTTGCCTTCCAATAAGAGATTTCGCTCCATTTGCCTCTCCTTTTTTTTAGATTCAAAGAGTAAGTGAACAAACGATTCCTTAAGTTCCTCCTTGATTTCTTCATTTTTAAGTGCGCGAAATTCCAACATTAAAAACCTACAGAAAGCGTCATCGTTACCATCCAATTCAGTATTATCTTTTTGTGCAATAGATTTCAATGCCTCCGTCGCAGCTTCTAACATGTCGTTCTCCTTTGGTGTTGAGCTCTCTTCATTCGGACGCACTCTCTTCTTACTTCGGGCCGGAGGAGACAAGTCTCTTTCTAGTTCAACTGAAGTTTGAGAATCATCCAGGAACTGAAAGTAAGGATATACATATATGTATATACAAATGTACATGCACGAACTAAAGAAAATGATTTCTCAGCAATGCAGCAGTCCTCACCGATGAAAAATTACTTTCTCCTTTCCGAACCTTCACAAAATCGGATAGAAAACCAAGCTTCTTATACCAAAACGCAGTTGGGACGTAAACTTCGTCAGCGCCAGCTCCACTTTTCTTATTGCTACACTTTGCAACTTCTCGCGTGAATTGTCCTCGCAAGTAGTTAATTTTTGCCTATAAATGGTATAAAAGGAAAAACATTACAATCGTTGTAAATGTATTTATATACATACCTTTACTTCAGCGGGCCCAATTCCTGGCATGAAATCGTTAAGACTTTCCGCCAATTCGCTTAGCGCTTGGTACCGCGCATGTTTGTTATGGTAAAAATTGTTCTTTGGATTGTACAAACACTCAAATGACTCCCACAATTCAATTAGATGCAGGACAGCTTCCCTCGGCCATTCCAACTAAAATTTTAGTAGTTTTAGTGAATGCATGTTTTAAACATGAAGCACAACCGTTTACCTTCTTGGATTCTTTATCCATATTTGCAAAATTATTTAAAATTACTTTTGAGTGCGCAAATAAACGTTTTATAACAGCAATTTTTGAAAATTAAATATAAAAAGAACAGCTGATTCTATCTGTGTGTCAGATGAAAATAGAAACATTTCTATTTCGTATGTACGTGCATCTGCTTTGTACAGTAGCAAATCTAATTTGTCTTTACACGCTATGTTTGCATTTTCATATGTAAAAAGTGGCATGTACACATGCAAATACATATCGTGTAAGAACACCTTAACATTCGCATTCGCACATTCGCATTCGCATTCGCTAATGTGAAAAATATGACATTCGAAACATCCCCACTTGGAATGCACCTTGATAGAAGATTAACGTGGAGAGCTCACATCTTTGCTAAGCGTGAAGCACTCGGTCTAAGCTAAGAAACTTATTTTGGCTTATAAACCGTAACTCACAACTATCAACTGACAACAAACTTCTGCTGTACTCAACTGGATATTAGTCCCGAGAATCCCTAAGACTCCGCAGTAATCTCGAAACTCCCGAAATAGTCCCGAAATTCTTCAAAATCCCGATACTAGTTCCGATAATCCCGAAAGTCTCGAAAACTCCGAGTCTTGAAAATCCCGGAAGTCCCAAAAATTACGATTTTAGTCCCTAGAATCCCGCAAGTTCCGAAAATCCCGATATTAGTTCCGATAATCCCAAAAACCGTGAAATAGTCTCGAAAATCTCGATATACATAGTTCCGAGAATTCTGAAAACATCGAAGTAGATTCGTAAATCACAAAATAGTGCCAAAAATCCAGACATTAGTACAGAGAATCCCGAAAGTCCTAAAAGTCACGATATTAGTCCCGAGAATCCCCATTAGCCCCGCGAAACCCAAAAGTCACGAAAACTCCGAATTACTATTGAAAATCCCGAAATATACTCTAAAGTCGCAAAAATCCTGATATTAGTCCCGAGAATCTCGAAGTAGCCCGAAAATTCCGAAATCCAATCCAAAATCCCAAAATATGCCCGAAAGCCCCAAAAATTCCGATATTACTCCCGAGAATCCCGAAAACTACGAAGAAGTCGCGAAATAAATCCGAAAGTCCGAAAAATCCCGATGCTTTTCATTTCCAGACAACCGGTCAGGTACGAGCATGATTTTTAATTTCGACCAAACTCAAATACATTGTTTGTTGGTCCAAATAATGAGACACGTATTTTTTCTTTTGGCTCGGAAAAATTTTTCGGCCGAATTAAACGCGATTTTGTTTTTCAGGCAAAAATCGATTATTCGAATTGACAGTGAGAATGTTTTTTTTTAAATGCCCATAACTTTGTCAAAATTTAATAGATTCCAACAATGTTTTTACTCAAATGTCAGTAATTCTTGTCACTTCAAGATAGAATGATATAATTATTGATTTTCATTATTTAAAATTTTTTATTTAACAATAAACAAAAAGTGCATATTTTTTTTTTAATTTAATTTCTCAAAAAGTGTATTTTTTTCTCTCAAACTTTTTTACCGGGAAAGAGAGACTTTGAACTACAATCAACGTAAATCTCTAATAGCGAAGATTTTTTTTTCTGAGTTATGATTTTTTATAGAAAATATACGTTTTTGTGGTACATACTACAATATTCTTATATTGTTTAACTAAATGGAACATATGTATGTAATATATCAGCAAAAAGTACAGCCGTGATCATTTTTTGTGTATCAAATAGATATTAGAACACACTTTCCACCATACAGTTTCGAATATAAAAAGCGGGAAAATGTGATCACGGCTGTAATTTTTGCTGATATATTACATAATTTAAGTTTAGTAATTTAGTTAAACAATATAAGAATATTGTAGTATGTACCACAAAAACGTATATTTTCTATAAAATATCATAACTCAGAAAAAAAAAATCTTCGCTATTAGAGATTTGGGTTGATTGTAGTTCAAAGTGTCTCTTTCCCGGTAAAAAAGTTTGAGAGAAAAAAAATACACTTTTTGAGAAATTAAATTAAAAAAAACATTTGCACTTTTTATTTATTGTTAAATAAAAAATTTTAAATAATGATAGTCAATAATTATATCATTCTATATTGAAGTGATAAGAATTACTTACATTTGAGTAAAAACATTGTTGGAATCTATTAAATTTTGACAGAGTTATGGGCATTTTAAAAAAACATTCTCACTGTCAATTCGAATAATCGATTTTTGCCTCAAAAACAAAATCGCATTTAATTCGGCCGAAAAATTTTTCCGAGCCAAAAGAAAAAATACGTGTCTCATTATTTGGACCGACAAACAATGTATTTGAGTTTGGTCGAAATTAAAAATCATGCACGTACCTGACCGGTTGTCTGGAAATGGAAAGCATCTCCCGTATTAGTCTCCAGAACCCCCAAAGTCCTGAAAACTCCGAAGTAGTCTCGAAAATCCCGAAGTAGTCCCGAAAGTTACAAAAATCCCGATATTAGTTCAGATAACCCTGAAAACCCCGAAGTAGTCTCTAAAGTCCCGATATGGTCGCGAAAGTCCGAAAAATCCCGATATAAGTCTCGAGAATCCCAGCGGGTTCTCTTTCTTCTCTTTCCAGGCACGATAACACAGGGATATATGATTGCAGACACCCCCCCGAGAGCAGCCACCGCTCTGTAAGCCGGCACCGGTCCAAGAGCAGGAGCCAATCAAAGGGAAGGCACCATCACGGCAGCAAGCACAGCGACGGGTCGCTGGGAAGGCACCGCAGGTCCCCCAGCAGTTCATCGGCCTCTGACGAAGCTGGGTGGCAGACCCAGAAGAAGAAGCAGCGCAGGTGCAGACCTCCTCCACTACCCCCAACGGGTCAACCGGGCGCTCTTGACGACTACCACCGCGCCGGCTTGGGCGGTTCTGGTGTCAAGTGGTATCTTCGCTACCTGAAGCAGGGGAAGACCGCAGAGGAAGCTCGGGTCATGGCAGGAGTTCGGGTGGAGGTTGAGAAAGAGGAGCGTGAGCGCGAGGATCGCAAGCGCAAAGGCGACAAGGCCGCACCCGCCAGTGGGCGGAAGAGTGACCCACTCAAAGAGGCACATAAACCCGCGCCTGCTGAAAAGCAGAGCAGCGGGACGCAGAAGTACCAGCATAGACCCGCGCCCGCTGAAAAGCGGAGAAGCGGGGAACGGCAGAACCAGCATAGACCCGCGCCTGCTGAAAAGCAGAGAAGCGGGAAACAGCAGCATCACAGACCCGCGCCCCCCGTTTGGCGGAGAAGCGGGGTACCAATACAGGTGAAGCAACAGCACCAAAGCGCAGCAGCAACCAGATTACGCCACCGGAGTTGCCTTCCAGTAAGCGTCAGCGAGGGCAAGCACCCCCTCTGGGATCATGGCCCAGGAGCCAGGGCGGAACTGCCGGCCAGGGACAGGCGCGGGAGGCAGCCACTCAGCAGCCCAGCTACTCGGAGGCCCTTAAGGGCATCCGCGTAGCAGTGCTGCCTTGTGACTACCCTGCTGCTTCCCTGAGCTCGGAGGACATAACGAAGCTCCAGAATGCCATCATGGAGGAGGTCTTTAAATGGTGGTCGCATCCGCTGGCGTTCTGTGGGGTATACTTCCGCTCGGGTATGCTCCTGGTTGATTGCAAAGAGGAGCGAACAGCAACCTGGCTAACCCAGAAGGCACCCTGTTTAGGCGGTTGGAATGGGCCCGCGTTGTGCACCAAAAGGGGTGATGATATCCCGCCAGTGCACAACATCACGGTCTTCCTCCCGAGGAGCGCTGATAAATCAGCCGAGTACGCGCTGACGTTACTCCAGGCCCAGAATGAGGGCATCCATACCTCCGCGTGGAAGGTGATCTCCTGCAGCTCCGAGGACAACGGGCTCAGGCTCAATCTGGGCATTGACGAGGAGTCCTACGTCAGCATCAAGAAGGCTGGCTTCAACGTGAACTACAGGTTTAGCTTTGTCACGGTAAGACCTTGGCGACATAAGACGACAGGCAGCAAGGAGTCAGAGTCGCAAGACATGCAAGTCGACGCGGCTGCTGACTCCACCGCTGCCCAAGCGACTGAGTCGACCGAGGTCTTACCGGCTAACCTGGCACCGAACCAAACCAAGGCACCAGCCCTGATTAAGGCACCAGTTCCTGCCAGCGCCTCCGGGTCAGGCGACTCCACCAGCCAGGCCACGTATGTGCCTACCACCCAGCAGACCTCAGCAGGCTTGAGCTCGACAGGCGTAGCGAGGGCGATTTGCGGCTCTCGGATCTGGACGAGCCCAAGCTATGAGCACACCGCAATTGGCAGTAGCCCAGGTCAACCTGCACCACGCGGTGGCTGCCTCGGCGGTCATTGCGAGCAGGTTTGCCACGGAGGACCTGGGCATTGTACTGATCCAAGAGCCGTGGACCTACAGAGGCCAGGTCAGGGGCCTAAATCACAACTGTAATAAGGTAATTTGGGNCTGAGCATTGTACTAATCCAAGAGCCGTGGACCTACAGAGGCCAGGTCAGGGGCCTAAATCACAACTGTAATAAGGTAATTTGGGACCCCTCTAGTGAGAGGCCCAGAGCGTGTGTAGGGTTGAAGAAAGATATTGACTATTTCTGCATTACAGAGTTTTTAACACAGGATTTGGTAGCAGTTCAGACGACGCTGTCAATACACGGCAGAAGCACGGAGGTCGTCTTTGCTGCAGCCTATTTCGCGGGGGACAACGTCACCGTTCCACCCCTGGAGGTACAGCAGCTGGTGGAATTCTGTCGGAGGAAAAGGATTCCGATCATCCTAGGCTGCGATGCGAACGCCCACAATGTGGAGTGGGGCAGCACGGACACGAACCGTAGGGGTGAGTGCCTTCTAGAATACATTATTAGTGAAGACCTTTGCATACACAATGTCGGTCATAGTCCAACATTTGTTACTAGGGTTAGAGAGGAAGTACTTGACGTCACTCTCAGTAACGGATTGGCCAGCCCTTTGATCAGCCAGTGGCGGGTCTCACCAGAGCCCTCCCTGTCTGATCACAGGATTATCCGATTTGTACTGGGAGCGGAGGTCATGACAGCTTGTATAAAGAGGAACCC